GGCCGCGTGGGCAGGGGCGGGGACGCGGCGCGGGGCCGGCGGAGCCCGGCGGAGCTCAGCGGAGCTCCGGAAGGGCCGTTGCGCTCGCAGGCCGCGCGCGGCTCCGTTCCCGCCGTTGGGCCGTGAGGGGAGGCCGTGAGGGGAGGGCAGAAGCGAGGCTCGGGAGAGGCCCGGGAGCGCCGCAGTGACGCTCTCCGCTCCTGGGCTGCTCGGGCACCGCAGGGCCGAACGCGGAGCTCGGCTGTCCCCTCCCATGGGGACTGCAGCCGTCTCTCGGCATGGGAACACATGTGAGAGCGAAAGTACAGAGCCCTCGTTGTGTTGCCTCACGGGTTTTAGAGTGAGAATTAAAAAAGTCGAGTGGGTTCTGGAGCAGATAGCTCCCTGAGAAGAGGTCTTGGTACGGCGTGTTTCGTCCGCCTTGCAGAGCCCTTCAGACACTTGGGCGCGTGTTGCTGCTCCTTATGCGTGTGATGTACGGAGATCTGCAGAAGCCTCTGCTTGATCTCTGAGGGCACGAAAAGAATGAGAGCAATGAGTGGGAAGGAACTGGATCCGCCGGGGGGATGCAGGAACAAAGTGTTCTTCACACTCCAATTAAGCGTCATTAACTCGTGGGAGCGCGGAGCCGCTCCCCGCGGGTGATGGGCGCTGCTGCGGCGGGGGCAGCTCGGCCCTCCACGGCCTGCCCGCTCCAGGCGGGGCTCTGGGGCTTTGCTCTGCCCCTCCCGCAGAAAGAAACGCAGTTTTCGGAATTTCTCACTCTGGTTACAAGCTTTTCTCAGTAGCCATACGCAAGATGGGCATGGTGAAACGGGTTTTTTCAATCGTATCTCTGGTGGAACCACTAAAAGAGAAGTTTACATGCCAGGCACATTTCTTAACCCCCTTTTTTTTTTTTTTTTTTTTTCCATGCTTGGTACTGGGAGGAAAATCCATTGCAATTTATGTAATCGGACCGGGTTGGTAATCCAAATGAGATTTTCTTATTTAGCAGCCTCTTTACAGAAGGGTCCTACCTTTATGTAGGTCGGGAAATGAAAAAAGGCCGGGACCAGGCTACTTAACAGCAAAGTGATTTTGTGAACTGTGAATCTATGTTTGGTGTCCTTCTGCCCTTTTGTTAAATGGAAATAATTTCACAAAATCCCAATAAATGGGATGTTTTGGTCCAGCCATTAAACACTCCTTTGTAAATAGGTAAGATTCTACAGGACTTCTTAGGGTTTGTGGTTGTAGATTTATCAGTAAAGATCCAAACCAGAAATACGAAATTCATACCTAGAGAAAATGAGATTGCTGCATAGCTGACACAAGCTAAATGATGCAGCACTTTTCAGGACAGCAAATACCCGGTTTTGCTATTTAAAGGAGAAATGTGAGTGATTTACCTTTTGCCATTCTGCATCTAAGACTGGCAGGATAGCAGGAGTTGTGACACAGAGCAAGTGGAGGAAAACGTTTTGTTTGTTATCTTCTAAACTTCCTTTTCCCTTTATTTGTGAGCCCAACGGAGTAGTAACTGTGAATAACTACACTGTGAAATGAATTTTAAATACTGGCATTCGTTGTGCAATGTGTCCTCTGACCAGCATGTGGGGATATGCCCAAGTACTTGAAGGGAACATTATATGCTCGCTACAATTTTATCCAAGGAAAAGTCACTTGGTATAACTGGCTTAGGACATTAAATAAAAAATATATAAAGCATGAAACTACATAGAGTGTTGCACAAATCTCAACTTCCTTCTGTAACAGACATAGCACCAAAGTGCCACAGTGAAGTTCTGCAGCTGCAGTGCTCAAGGGAGCTCTGGGGCTGCTTGCACCTCAAAATTCCCAATGTCCGATCTAGCACCTGCAAAAAAAACCTCAGAGGTGCCAAATCCAGCGAAAACAAGAAATGTAAATCTGCTTAACTTCAGGGAAGGACTTTATTTCCTTGTAAGTGCCTTAGCACTGAGGGTTTCCTATTACCATTGCACAGACTTCTTATTGATGGTCCCAACAAGCAGGGAACTATTTTCAGTTCCCCGGCCATTATTAAAATAGCAATGCCTGGCTACTGCCTGGTGATAGCTGTCAGCACAATTGTGGTTTTAAATTGTATTCCCATTAATCCCCCACTGAGATAATAAAAAAATGGGGAAATAACTATATCTAGGGTTAATTAATATGTAATTTATGTTTAATTGCTAGAAAACATCTTTCAGTTAATACATATCTTTTTGAAGGCTACAGTGTTATGGCATAAAACTTTCTGTATAGTTAATAACAGATATGGACTCTGCTCTCTTCATCCATTTTCTCCTGGCAACAGCCAGGACATACTTTGTAAACTTTCATTCTGCATTTCAAACCCCTTTGCTTTATACTTTGATGTGTCACAGACTACAGAAAATAGAAATGGGTGTCCAGAACAGCTGATAACATGAAATTAGAGATGTCAGCATTTTGCTGTGAGAAATTACCAACCTTTGTGTGAAGCCTTTGTGTAGAATATTCTTGATTAAGACAAAGAACAGGCTTTAGAATGCAAATAGCCTTACAAACAAGGGATGGTCAGACCCTTTTATGCCATTTCAGTTTTACATTTTGTCCTCAGATTCTTCAGTTTCCATGTAGAGAACTCACACATACAAAGAGTATGTGTTTTATATGCTTTATATCCTTTATAGCTGAGTGTGCTGTAGTTCTCTCTCTGCCCACCCTGCTCACAAACAGTTCTGATCAAATGCAAATGTGCTTACCAGTAAGACAAATTATTTATTAACTGATGGCAACATGCTGAAACAACCTGAACAGTTTCTGACCTGTTTGTGAACATGAATCACTACAGAAATACTAAACTGACAACGTTGCAAGTTCTGTGCTTAACTCGAGGCACCTGATAAAGGGAGCTGGTTAAGGGAAAACTGAGGAGACACCTTCAATTTAAGATAAGCAAACCCAAAAACCTGCAACCCCACCACTGCCCTCGTCCTCTCAGGCCACAAACTACAGCTGAACCAAAGGAAAGCTTTTCATAGGAGGCTGAGTGCAAAGAAAATGAAAAAGGATGAGGATGAGCCCTGGATGTGAAGTCTGTAATGAAGGAAAGGAGCTGACCTTTGTGTTAGGGACGAAGTTCTTGCATTCACAAACCCTCGTGTGGATCCAGTGTCCCCAAGCCCACACAAGCTGGCACAGAGTGGCTCCCCTGTGCCCTGGCACTATGGCAGAAGCCACACAAGTGCTGAGGCACCTGCAGGTTGGGGCTGAAGATGCTGAACATTTCTGAGCATCCTACACAGGGTTGGGAGTGCAGCCCCTTCCCACATGTTCCTATTGAAGTGATGTTCTGCACTATTACATGTATTTTTCTGTTATAAATAGATCAGCAGGCCAGGTGCTAACTGAGCACCAGGAAATTCCCATGTAGTCTTTTGTGTTTTCCAGTTTAAGAGCTGGATGCTGTGAGACACCAGTTCCCATGTGATTAAACTGGGCTTTTGGTCAGGCCAAAAGTGACTTTTGATTTTGAAGGTGCAAACCTCCAGGAATACAATATCAATAATTGAGAGGGTTGTGCCCTGCAGAGACCAATTTGGTAACACACTGAACCTCAGCTTATAAAATAGCTGCAAGTGGTGCCACATGCTGCTGATTCTGACATGACACTGTGTCTTTGCACGGCAGCATGATGAAGCACCCTAAAATTAGCCTTCTTACTATTTCGTAAAGAGCAGGCAGAAAAGGTAGCAGCCTGCACTGAGGAGAACAAAGAGGCACGGGACAGGACCAGAACTGAGGCTCACACGCAGCCTGGTCACAGCTCTTCATGGTGAGCACTCTTGGCTTCTTTGCAAATTTCCATGTTGGATTGTTTAGTTTAATTTCTTATCCCAAGCACAGGCTGACCTGATTAGAAAGAAAGAAAGGTGCTCGTGTAAACAGAGGTGGGGAGGAAGGACCTGTTCTCTCAGGGGGATTGGGATTCAGCAGAAGGGAAAACTAACTGTGAAAATTACATGGATGGTCTCTTTTCTTCGGGGTGTGGTGGGAGCTGGCATTTAAATCACAGAACTGATTTTGTTGTTACTGGAATGTAACTGGGAATGGAAGAAAAAAATGGGCTGATATGAAAATTGGAAACAACATGATCAAGTCTCTTTCTATTGAGCCAGAGTGATTTTTTTCCTGATACTCAGTTCTATCTCTACCCCACTTACTGCTTGATAAAGTCCTAAAATAATAAGATTTGAGAGAAAAAAAAAACCACCAAAAAACAACAATTCAACTTAGAGGCAGTAGGAAGATAGGGGCATGGATGTGTTTGTGTACAGGAACAGAAATAGTGGAGGGAAAGATCCTAGACCAGACTAACAGATCTTAGACCAGAACTTGCAGGTGAGGAGAAAAAAGAAACTGTGAGGAAACATTTGAATAGAGGAGGGCACAAGAGGCATGCCATGAAAAGGGATGTGAGCACTGATTGCTAGCAGGGAAGGAGGCACAGCACAGGTCTCTAGGAAGCAGAGGACCCCCCAGCAGCTGGGTGTGACAGCCTGTGGCCCCATGCCCAAACAATTGTCAGTACATGCTGTTTTCTCTATTCCTGTGGTAGCACACAGCAAAGAATAGCTGGAAGAAAATAACACCAGGGCATAAACTGTGACTGGTACATTCAAACTACATACAGCTGTTTCTGCTATTAGTTATCACTCAGAAATATGGGCCTGTTTTGCTACTCAGATATTTTTGTGCAGTAAAGATGATTGGACAGTACTCTGCTGCTTTTGTAATTTAATTCGGGACAATATTCATGATCTCACATGTATCACAGAGAGGCACGATTCTATACGATCTCTTTTGTGCTGTTAGTAACCAACAGATACTTGGTGAAGCATGGACTAAATGTGCCAAAGTGGGACTGAATCTATGACATTTGTATCAACCACAGTACAGGACATCTCTGTTTGTAAAGGGGATTAAATATTCACAGTGGTCAAAGAGTCTTGGACAGATGGAAAATTAAATTTCTCTTGCAGATGTTGTTAAGGTGTTCCACAGAAATTGTATGTGAGCAGTCAGAGTTTGGAGTCCTTGAAGGACTGTAACTCTTAATTTCCTATAATGTAAGTCTCAACCTTGGCATTAGAATAAAAAATAAAGAAAAAAAAAATTGGAGACAGAAGGTGAGCTGTATGAGCTGAGCAATCAAATCCTCATAACTGTGTGAAAAATGGAATCACTGCTGCTCCCTACACACAATTCCTATGCAGAGAAACCCAGTGACTCCTCATGTTCCCAGAGGTCACCTAAGTCAATATTTACTTTATTTAGGAAAGAAAAATTGCCATAAATTTGTAATCTTTTGTTTCTCTTTACTGACACTGGAGTAGTGCAAAGTGCAGCCAATTTTGTTGCTGAATTTTCAGCACGAGTGATTTGGATGCTCCTATTTCACTGCAGAAGACTTTGGGTCCATGTTTTTGGGATAATGTTTCTTTGTTTATTTGCTCTACCAGCATAGAACAAACTGCTTCCATTTAAAACTTGAAGCTTGAAAGGGGAAGCCAAAGCAACTGTATCTCTTTTGGAAGCAGGAACAGTTGAGCAGCCACTTGTGCCAAAACCCCATTGCATTTAGCTGTGCTTTTTGCTTGGATGGGGAAGGAGGCAGCAGTGATTCATCACCTATGTCTGCCTAATGAAGGCTTTCTTATCTTTCATGTCAGCAACTCACCAGGACACCACTAAATACAGTCCCAGGCAGAAATGATCATTTCAGGGGCACAGAATACTCCTCACTTCACACATACATACTTACTGTCCTAGAACAATAATACAGAGTTATTTTCAGCTCCTGGTCGAGGTTCTAGAGCAGCAAAATTACTCCTAGACATACACAGATACGAATTTGGGAGTAATCCTAGAGCTCAGGACCCTGGAGATTTAAGTGAGGTGGTTTCTGAGACTCTCAGAAAAAGACAGAGCATTTCAAGAGTATCCAAGTGACACAGCAGCTGCTGCTCACCCCATGAGCCAGCAGAGACATCCAAAACCAGACAGATTACAGGAGACTCGGCTTGAAACACCAATTTCCTCAGGAAACAGTTACACATCATATTTTAGCCAGTAGACTTACCAAAAAATATTGTGCCCAAACGTGATAGAACTTCTGCAAATACAAACAGTTCAATGCAAACACTATTAGGTGCTTCTAGCTTTCAGCAAACTCAGCCAGGCAAACTTGTGTTTTAACAGTCAGTATCAATATTACAAATTCAATTCCTTGGATTATAACTTATTTTCCTTTTTTTTTAAAATAAAATAAAGGAAAGGAATGCTTATTTGTCTCATGAACAAGCTGTTGCTTTGTAGCAAGCAGCATTAGGATTAAAATTCACTTTTCTGAGAGGCAAATGATGTGGTCTTTGTCATTTTCCCTGACCTCTTGTTCAAGTTTGAGCTTCTAAATAGCTCATCACCATTATAATCCTGTTTTGTGTTATCTTCTGTGTTTATAATAACCATAAGCATTAAAACAGTCTGTTCATGACTATAATAGTCCTGCAGAATTATAATAGGCAAGAACCTAGAAATGTTCCATTTATAGCCATTACAAACAGTTGTAATTTCCAATGTGTTGGATCAGCAATGACTCCTCAAGAATCCAGTATTTGGGATTAAAGTGTCTGGACAATTTTCAAGTCAAAGTTATGAATATATATATATATATATATATACATAATATATAATGTTATCTTTTCGCAAGGTTTTAGTTTAGGATAGTTAATAACATACAGTTTTAAAATCTTCATTTTTGAAACTTCCCACAGAAGTAATTTTACACCTAATTTTGACTGGATACAGAACTATTTGCCCAAGTAACAACAAAACAGATACTGTTATTATAATGATTTCTGATGTTTTCTAAAAAACCCACAGCAAGTTAAAAGAAATACCTTTTGACAAATGGAATTAAATGGATCTTAAAATATAACTTAAGTATATGTATTTTGAAGTGAAATTTTCAAGTTCAAGGATTATAAAATAAATTTATTTTTATAGCTAAATTTTAAATTTATTTTTAATTTTTAAATTAATTTTTTGAGAAATTAAAGATTCAAATAGCGTGCTTGACTGCTGTAATTCCTTTGGACATATATTGATCAACATAAAGAGAATAAAACCAGAAACTAGTAATATATTCCTCATCAAATATTTTCTGATATAAACCTTTGGCTTCCTCAAATCCTCCATCTCAGGATCTATACCAGAAAGATCTTCACAGCTCTGCAGGAGATCCAAAGGTTTTCTCTGGTGCCACAGAAAGAGACACCAAGTATTTCAGGATTAGGAAGCATGCAGTGTGTAGAGAGTTTCTTTCCTGACTTTTTCAGGAAGCAATCCTGTTTGGAGCCCTGTTATCCCTCCAATAACACAATTGGAAGGAGCATGTGGGAGTGCACAGAAAATCACTATATCTGCAAGAGACTGTCCTTAGAGTGCTCATTCTTGGGAGTCACATTATTATTATTATTATTATTATTATTATTATTATTATTATTATTATTATTATTTTCTTGAATTTTCAACTTTATTATCTTGACTACAGCTGGGAAAACTCTGGAAGTTCTTCCTGCTGAGTCCTTTCTCTTCACCCTCAAAGCCATCATTTTCCCTGCTCTCCTTTCCTCTAAGTCAATCCCTGAGCCAGGTCAATGGCCAGTTTGAACCAGCTGAGTCTGGATGGGTTTACATCACAGCTCAGAACCCCAAAACTGAGTATGGCAGGTATGAAACACCACATTTATGCTCCTTGCATTTCATGAGAGCAGCAGTTCTGGCTCCCCTTCCACTCCAGCCCCCACTTCTCTATTCCCTCCAACACTTTAAATCCTGCTCAGCAGCAAAATGCACAACAAATCCACTCCACACAGGAGGAAGAGTTTTCATACCCACAGGTTATAAAAATTGTGGTTGGGACTTTCTGAACTATGGGGCTTCAAAATATATATTGTCATTTTCAAAAAATGGTGAGTAAAGATTTAGGTGACTGCCTGTAGTCATTTTAACATCAAACTCTCAGCCAATATGAAGGTAAATACCTCAAATGGGAATATACAAGTGGATCTACACAGGCAAGTCCGTAGATTTTCAACAGAAATGTAATAACATTTAAAGCTTATCTTTCTAACTATTTAATAAAAATATAGTCTTGGTCTTTATATCCTGTCTGACTTTACAAACTAGTAAATATTTCTGCATCATATAGATGTTTGCCTGATTTACCATGCTGTCCTGATTTAACATTAAGAGCATTACATCTAAATTCAGTTCAAATGTCGAATTTCCACAGCCTCACATCACCAATTAAGCATGCCAGAAAGGTTTTGTTGTGCTTTAAAAGGCGTTTGCTAATCAGATTAAATGAAAAACACTTACCATATTTGCATTTTCTTTCTAAGTATCACAGTTTGAAGTCTTCCAATATTTTTCCTTTTCTAAAGCAAAAAAAAGAGAGACATTTAGAAAAGGATTTCCAAAGGCACCGTAGCCAGAAAGAGAATTCCTTTCCATTAACTCGTGGCACAGCACAAGGCATTAATATATATCACTGAGGTTCCAGTTGGTCTAAACTTGGCTTGCAATATGCATGGTTTATCAGATCACAATGTATTTTAAATCCTGTGATAGATCTTTTGACTCCTTCTGTTGAGTAAATAATGTTTTGATTGGTATGAAATTAGATGGTTCTGGAGACTGGCAACTGAGTAAGCAGAACCACTGGCCTGGGAAAGTCATCGATATTTCTGATTACAGGGTGATTTATTT